ACACTTATTCACCCACCCACCCACTCACCATACACTGCAGGTCACAATAACACTCCCTCACCCAGTCGTCCACACGCTTATTCACCCACCCACTCACTCACCATACACTGCAGGTTACAATAACACTCCCTCACCCAGTCGTACACACACTTATTCACCAACCCACTCACCATACACTGCAGGTCACAATAACACTCCCTCACCTAGTCGTCCACACACTTATTCACCCACCCACACACCATACACTGCAGGTCACAATAACATTCCCTCACCCAGTCGTCCACACGCTTATTCACCCACCCACCCACTCATCATACACTGCAGGTCACAATAACACTCCCTCGCCCAGTCGTCCACACACTTATTCACCCACCCACCCACTCACCATACACTGTAGGTCACAATAACACTCCCTCACCCAGCCGTCCACGCACTTATTCACCCACCCACCCACTCACCATACACTGCAGGTCACAATAACACTCCCTCACCCAGTCGTCCATGCACTTATTCACCCACCCACTCACCATACACTGCAGGTCACAATAACACTCCCTCACCCAGTCGTCCATGCACTTATTCACCCACCCACCCACTCACCATATATTGCAGGTCATAATAATACTCCCTCACCCAGTCGTCCACGCACTTATTCACCCACCCACACCATACACTGCAGGTCACAATAACACTCCTTCACCCAGTCGTCCACACACTTATTCACCCACCCGCCCACTCACCATACACTGCAGGTCACAATAACACTCCCTCACCCAGTCGTCCACACACTTATTCACCCACCCACTCACTCACCATACACTGCAGGTCACAATAACACTCCCTTACCCAGTCGTCCACACACTTATTCACCCACCCACTCACTTACCATACACTCCAGGTCACAATAACACTCCCTCACCCAGTCGTCCACACACTTATTCACCCACCCACTCACTCACCATACACTGCAGGTCACAATAACACTCCCTCACCCAGTCGTCCACACACTTATTCACCCACCCACTCACTCACCATACACTGCAGGTCACAATAACCCTCCCTCACCCAGTCGTCCACACGCTTATTCACCCACCCACCCACTCACCATACACTGCAGGTCACAATAACACTCCCTCACCCAGTCGTCCACACACTTATTCACCCACCCACTCACCATACACTGCAGGTCACAATAACACTCCCTCACCCAGTCGTCCACACACTTATTCACCCACCCACCCACTCACCATACACTGCAGGTCACAATAACACTCCCTCACCCAGTCGTCCACACGCTTATTCACCCACCCACTCATCATACACTGCAGGTCACAATAACACTCCCTCATCCAGTCGTCCACACACTTATTCACCCACCCACCCACTCACCATACACTGCAGGTCACAATAACACTCCCTCACCCAGTCGTCCACACACTTATTCACCCACCCACCCACTCACCATACACTGCAGGTCACAATAACACTCCCTCACCCAGTCGTCCACACACTTATTCACCCACCCACCCACTCACCATTCACTGCAGGTCACAATAACACTCCCTCGCCCAGTCGTCCACACACTTATTCACCCACCCACCCACTCACCATACACTGTAGGTCACAATAACACTCCCTCACCCAGTCGTCCACGCACTTATTCACCCACCCACCCACTCACCATACACTGCAGGTCACAATAACACTCCCTCACCCAGTCGTCCATGCACTTATTCACCCACCCACTCACCATACACTGCAGGTCACAATAACACTCCCTCACCCAGTCGTCCATGCACTTATTCACCCACCCACCCACTCACCATATATTGCAGGTCATAATAATACTCCCTCACCCAGTCGTCCACGCACTTATTCACCCACCCACACCATACACTGCAGGTCACAATAACACTCCTTCACCCAGTCGTCCACACACTTATTCACCCACCCGCCCACTCACCATACACTGCAGGTCACAATAACACTCCCTCACCCAGTCGTCCACGCACTTATTCACCCACCCACTCACTCACCATACACTGCAGGTCACAATAACACTCCCTTACCCAGTCGTCCACACACTTATTCACCCACCCACTCACTTACCATACACTCCAGGTCACAATAACACTCCCTCACCCAGTCGTCCACACACTTATTCACCCACCCACTCACTCACCATACACTGCAGGTCACAATAACACTCCCTCACCCAGTCGTCCACACACTTATTCACCCACCCACTCACTCACCATACACTGCAGGTCACAATAACCCTCCCTCACCCAGTCGTCCACACGCTTATTCACCCACCCACCCACTCACCATACACTGCAGGTCACAATAACACTCCCTCACCCAGTCGTCCACACACTTATTCACCCACCCACTCACCATACACTGCAGGCCACAATAACACTCCCTCACCCAGTCGTCCACACACTTATTCACCCACCCACCCACTCACCATACACTGCAGGTCACAATAACACTCCCTCACCCAGTCGTCCACACGCTTATTCACCCACCCACCCACTCATCATACACTGCAGGTCACAATAACACTCCCTCATCCAGTCGTCCACACACTTATTCACCCACCCACCCACTCACCATACACTGCAGGTCACAATAACACTCCCTCACCCAGTCGTCCACACACTTATTCACCCACCCACCCACTCACCATACACTGCAGGTCACAATAACACTCCCTCACCCAGTCGTCCACACACTTATTCACCCACCCACCCACTCACCATTCACTGCAGGTCACAATAACACTCCCTCACCCAGTCGTCCACACACTTATTCACCCACCCACCTACTCACCATACACTGCAGGTCACAATAACACTCCCTCACCCAGTCGTCCACACACTTATTCACCCACCCACTCACTCACCATACACTGCAGGTCACAATAACACTCCCTCACCCAGTCATCCACACACTTATTCACCCACCCACCCACTCACCATACACTGCAGGTCACAATAACACTCCCTCACCCAGTCGTCCACGCACTTATTCACCCACCCACTCACTCACCATACACTGCAGGTCACAATAACACTCCCTCACCCAGTCGTCCACACGCTTATTCACCCACCCACCCTCTCATCATACACTGCAGGTCACAATAACACTCCCTCACCCAGTCGTCCACACACTTATTCACCCACCCACCCACTCACCATACACTGCAGGTCACAATAACACTTCCTCACCCAGTCGTCCATGCACTTATTCACCCACCCACCCACTCACCATACACTGCAGGTGACAATAACACTCCCTCACCCAGTCGTCCACTCACTTTTTCACCCACCCACCCACTCACCATACACTGCAGGTCACAATAACACTCCCTCACCCAGTCGTCCACGCACTTATTCACCCACCCACCCACTCACCATTCACTGCAGATCACAATAACACTCCCTCACCCAGTCGTCCACACACTTATTCACCCACCCACCCACTCACCATACACTGCAGGTCACAATAACACTCCCTCACCCAGTCATCCACACACATATTCACCCACCCACTCACCATACACTGCAGGTCACAATAACACTCCCTCACCCAGTCGTCCACACACTTATTCACCCACCCACTCACTATACACTGCAGGTCACAATAACACTCCCTCACCCAGTCGTCCACACACTTATTCACCCACCCACCCACTCACCATACACTGCAGGTCACAATAACACTCCCTCACCCAGTCATCCACACACTTATTCACCCACCCACTCACTCACCATACACTGCAGGTCACAATAACACTCCCTCACCCAGTCATCCACACGCTTATTCACCCACCCACTCACCATACACTGCAGGTCACAATAACACTCCCTCACCCACCCACTCACCATACACTGCAGGTCACAATAACACTCCCTCACCCAGGGTCTTACAAAAATAACCTTGCTTAATACAAAAATAACCTTGCTTAATGAAAAAAAGAAATTAACTCGTATCGATTGCAACATTGATAATGCTTATTCTTAGTTTTTTCGGTAAAGTCACGTTGAAGAGAAACAACAAAATAACAAAATATATATAAAACAATAAAAAATTCTCACGACGTTTCGACCATAACTCAAACGGTCATCATCAGGTGTGTCGGTTTGCATAAATTTATTTTTAAAACGGCATATTTATTTATTTATATAAAAATAACGTTTGCGTCACGCGCAACGATTGGCTGTTTGCCAGGACTAGTCTATCTATTTTTTGAAAAGAGGAGGGGGGAGACGAAATTTGTTTTTATGTATGCTGTCTGAAAGGCACTGTAAGCGTGAACAATCAATCAAGAACTGAAATGATTTATCAAATAGAGAAGATGGATTCTATCTTAGCAATCATTGGAAAGATTTGATAAATCATTTCAGTTCTTGATTGATTGTTCACGCTTACAGTGCCTTTCAGACAGCATACATAAAAACAAATTTCGTCTCCCCCCTCCTCTTTTCAAAAAATAGATGGACTAGTCCTGGCAAACAGCCAATCGTTGCGCGTGACGCAAACGTTATTTTTATATAAATAAATATGCCGTTTTCAAAATAAATTTATGCAAACCGACACACCTGATGATGACCGTTTGAGTTATGGTCGAAACGTCGTGAGAATTTTTTATTGTTTTATATATATTTTGTTATTTTGTTGTTTCTCTTCAACGTGACTTTACCGAAAAAACTAAGAATATGAATTACTGCAGTCACGAAAGCTTTAAATCAAAATTGATAATGCTGTTTGTTTCTGGCCGCTTGACATGTTGGGCTATTGTGCCCTATATTCAGCAAATTTGTTTAAAACACATTATACACACGTATATATGTGTGTGTGTATAATGTGTGTGTGTCTAATAGCTGTCCGCACACTCGCCTTGTCGGCTCGCCCAGGTAGTGAGGAGCGGTCCGGGCGCAAACTGCAATGCCCGGCCGCCACGGCAACCGCGAGGCCGTGTGGAGTCTGACGTCATGACGCACAGTCGTAACGTCATGACGGACTGAGTCGTGACGTCACGACGCACGGGGAAATCACGTGGTGCGTCATGGCGGCCCCCTGAGTAACATTGAGACAGCGCGTTGACGGGTGAGGCACAACCACCTGAACATCCTCACTGTCACAATAATCACCACTGTCATCACTGTCACAATAATCACCGTCATGACCACCACCGCCATCACTGTCACAATAATCACCGTAATCGTCATGACCACCACCACCGTTATCACCATCATCGTCACCATCATCAACGTGAACATCAGCATCATTGTCACCAACATCAACTTCGTCAGCGTTTATTATTTTAATGCGCTTTTTTACCCAAGAGGGCCTCGCTGAGTGTAAAGGCTCAATTTGAGACGATTGTTTCCAAGTTTTTGCAGCAGGGTGCGACGTTGCTGCTGTATGTGATCCCAATTGAGTAATTTGCTGATGGTTTCTCAGCATTGGGATGTTTGGCCAAAAGCCGTTGCATTGTGTGTTGGCTCTTTTCGATTTAAAGCTTTCGTGACTGCAAGGATTCATCTTCTTTGGTTCTTTCGGTAAAGTCACGTAGAATGTGAATTAAATAATAAATTGATAAAATAAAATAACGCAATAATATTCTCACGACGTTTCGGCCACAACACAAGCGGCCTTCATCAGGTGAAGGGACGAGACTGTCTGGAGGACAGCGCTATCCTGAAGGCCGCTTGTGTTGTGGCCGAAACGTCGTGAGAATATTATTGTGTTATTTTATTTTATCAATTTATTATTTTATTCTCATTCTACGTGACTTTACCGAAAGAACCAAAGAAGATGTTGGCTCTTTCTTTAGCAATGGGAGGAACCTGGAGTAAATCCGTGCAGAACAGGGGGATAATATATATAAAATCAACACATGCACTCATTCACGCTCAGAACAGGGGGAAAACATACAAACTCTACAGTCACCCAGCCCGGAATCCTAACCCAGGGCTTCTTGCTGGGAGGCACCTCGAGTGTCACCACTACGCCACCATCCTGCCGCACCCAAAACGTAAACAATAACATCGACAGAAGTGTAAACAACATCACCATCAGCATGACTCATAAAATGAAAATCATCGTTACATCCACATCACAATCAACAATTCAACATCCTCGTCAACTTCAACAACATCAAAATAAACATCACCACCATCATCAACGTGAACATCATCCCATGCCCCCGTGGGTATCTGAGTCCCCGGGTTCCCGCTTCCCACGTCTCGCAGTGAGCGCGGTTGAGTCCGCGGTGTCCGCTGGGATAGGGGATAGGGGGTGCGCGCTCTGGGGGGGCCCGTGTTGGGGTTAATTGGTTCACGATGGGGGTTAATGAGCCGCACGTGCGGACTCCCGCCCCTTCCCCCCGCCCCGAGCCCCTCCCGGCGCCTCGCGGTGTAAAGTTGCGGAAAATGACAATGATTGCAGCACAGGGGAGGGGAGATGGGGGGAGGTGGGGGGCAGAGTTACCGGGGTCTGGGCAGGGGACCCCCCACGACGCCTCCCCCACCGCCTCCCCCACCCACCCTGGGGCTCAGGAGCCCGTGGACTGCTTGTGTATACTGTCTGATAGATTTAGTACTGCATTGCAATTGTGTAATACATGTGTATACTTGCAGCGACACTATGCATTGCTTATGTATACGGTACTGTATTACACGATAGTACTTTATACTGTCAATGACACGGTAATACTTGTACAGTGAGGGAAAAAAAGTATTTGCTTCCCTGCTGATTTTGTACGTTTGCCCACTGACAAAGAAATGATCAGTCTATAATTGTAATGGTAGGTTTATTTGAACAGTGAGAGACAAAATAACAACAACAAAAATCCAGAAAAACGCATGTCAAAAATGTTATCAATTGATTTGCATTTTAATGAGGGAAATAAGTATTTGACTGCTCTGCAAAACATGACTTAGTACTTGGTGGCAAAACCCTTGTTGACAGTCACAGAGGTCAGACGTTTCTTGTAGTTGGCCACCAGGTTTGCACACATCTCAGGAGGGATTTTGTCCCACTCCTCTTTGCAGATCTTCTCCAAGTCATTAAGGTTTCGAGGCTGACGTTTGGTAACTCGAACCTTCAGCTCCCTCCTCAGATTTTCTATGGGATTAAGGTCTGGAGACTGACTAGGCCACTCCAGGACCTTAATGTGCTTTTTCTTGAGCCACTCCTTTGTTGCCTTGGCCGTGTGTTTTGGGTCATTGTCATGCTGGAATACCCATCCACGACCCATTTTCAATGCCCTGGCTGAGGGAAGGAGGTTCTCACCCAAGATTTGACGGTACATGGCCCTGTCCATCGTCCCTTTGATGCGGTGAAGTTGTCCTGCCCCTTTAGCAGAAAAACACCCCCAAAGCATAATGTTTCCACCTTCATGTTTGACGGTGGGGATGGTGTTCTTGGGGTCATAGGCAGCATTCCTCCTCCTCCAAACACGGCGAGTTGAGTTGATGCCAAAGAGCTCCATTTTGGTCTCATCTGACCACAACACTTTCACCCAGTTGTCCTCTGAATCATTCAGATGTTCATTGGCAAACTTAAGACGGGCATGTATATGTGCTTTCTTGAGCAGGTGGACCTTGCGGACGCTGCAGGATTTCAGTCCTTCATGGCGTAGTGTGTTACCAATGGTTTTCTTGGTGACTATGGTCCCATCTGCCTTGAGATCATTGACAAGATCCTCCCGTGTAGTTCTGGGCTGATTCCTCACCGTTGTCATGATCATTGCAACTCCACGAGGTGAGATCTTGCATGGAGCCGCAGGCCGAGGGAGATTGACAGTTATTTTGTGTTTCTTCCATTTGCGAATAATAGCACCAACTGTTGTCACCTTCTCACCAAGCTGCTTGGCAATGGTCTTGTAGCCCATTCCAGCCTTGTGTAGGTCTACAATCTTGTCCCTGACATCCTTGGAGAGCTCTTTGGTCTTGGCCATGGTGGAGAGTTTGGAATCTGATTGATTGATTGCTTCTGTGGACAGGTGTCTTTTATACAGGTAACACGCTGAGATTAGGAGCACTCGCTTTAAGAGTGTGCTCCTAATCTCAGCTCGTTACCTGTATAAAAGACACCTGGGAGCCAGAAATCTTTCTGATTGAGAGGGGGGTCAAATACTTATTTCCCTCATTAAAATGCAAATCAATTTATACAATTTTTGACATGCGTTTTTCTGGATTTTTGTTGTTGTTATTCTGTCTCTGACTGTTCAAATAAACCTACCATCAAAATTATAGACTGATCATTTCTTTGTCAGTGGGCAAACGTACAAAATCAGCAGGGGATCAAATACTTTTTTCCCTCACTGTATATACCGTCAGTGACAGTTATGATTCGGGCTGCTGAAATTGGTTATTCCACGATACCGGTAACTCCATTAAAAAAGGTTACGGTTTACCGCAAGTATAGAGACGTCTAGAGCAATGAACATGCCGTGTCAAGCTGTTAAACTGATCAATGAAAGGAGCTACCATGGAGTGGAGTGGTCGCACACTGGACTTGCGATCCACGGGGTAGTTGTTTCGATTTCATCTCCCGGGGCGGGATTTGAAGTTTTTTCAACTTTAACTGAGAAACACGGGCGACCAGCGCATTCATTTCTCGCATTCCACTGGAATCTGTTACTGGTTTCTGATTTTCGTAACCAGTAACCTATTCTGAAAACGTTTACCGTAGCCCTAGCACTGGCTATGGGAGGCTCTCAAGCATAGAGCGTTGCGCACAAAGGGGAATTGTCGAATTTACGTCTGACTTTTGGAACATGACACAGGAATTTGAGGCACGTTTAAAGCTGCCATGGTTGGCCTATGTAGTCGGTAAATTTAGAGAAGGTTGCAGGCAAGGTATTTGTAAATGTCCAAAAGATAAACTAAGACAAATGACAACACCTTCAGCAATTCTCATTCTGGTAAACTTGAATTTCCAAACAGAAAAAAAATCATTGAGGCATTTTATGCAGCCTGTCTCAGGGTGAGAGTAGTGAGGGGGTGATGGGTGAGGTGTCTGAGAGAGAAGGGAGGAGTGGAGGGGGAGTGGGTGTGGAATCTTGAGAGGAGTGATGATGGGGTAAGTAGTCTGAAGAGGGAGTGGCAAAGGGATGAGTGGATGAGGAATCTGAGAGAGGAGCAAGTGTTGAGTGAGGAATCTGTAAGAAGGGTAAGTTGGTGAGTAGTCTGTAAAAGGCAAATGGTGAGTGGTTGTTGCGTCCATTTGAGGATCTGGTGGTGAGTGAACTTGTCCTCTCACCGCCACTGCTCCTGGCTGCACCATTGCCACAAGTGGCCGAATAATCAGACGCTTGGTTCATTCTGTGGCTCTTTAAGAATTAAGATAATTTGTGCTCAAACGCAACCCGCTATTTCTGCGTAGTTACACCATTTGTCCCATTACCCCGAGGCCAAGACTGAGTTCGGGTAGAGCACCGCCACACAACCCCATGAACCGACGATGCCCGAGAACCCCAGAAGGAACCCGGTTGGCATGAGGCGTGGACGATGGTGCGGTGTTGTTTATTAAACAACACGAGCATCGAAGTTATGATAGACAATGAGTGAACGCGTTCTTTTAATTTATTGAGCAAGGGTATTGTTGTAAGAGCTTTGGAAAAGAGGTGACAATGGGAGGGAATTCAAAAGTGGATCACTGCGTGGGAAAAACAGAAATCAAAGTGTTGTGACCTACAGTGTTGTGAATGGTTGGGTGAGTGGGGGAGTGTGTGAGTAGTTAAGTGAGTAGGTGGGTGGGTGAGTTTTTCTGTGATCTGCAATGTGATGGTTTAATGCAGTCTGGATGAGATGAAACCGTCGGGAATCTATTTGTTTAACCAGTGAGAATTTGGTGGAGTCAGCGAGTGAAGTTAACGGAACAGTAACCATGTTTGTAGCTCTATAAGAGTAGAAAGGAGGCGACTACCAGTGAGCGAGTGACTGCAGTGATGAATCAGTGAGTGTTGGGCCATCAATCAATGACTGCTGCTTCATTCTGTGAGGTTGGACCTGATGCTGCTCCACAGATATGACCACAACCCATGCAGGAATCGTGTGACCCCCACGGGCTCCCTAAATCACTCTCACCGCAGCGAGTTCCAAGCGAACCGCACTGCACTGCTCCGCGTTGGCATGTGCTCCTCCGTGTGCTCCTCCGTGTGTTCCTCCACGTGCCGCCACACTTCATCCCCAACTGCCGCGGGTCGATGACAGTGGCCCCCCCACCCCGAGCTGGGGGAGGTGCCCCCCCGCCCTCTCTCAGCCCGTGATTACCGTCCTGTAAGTCCTGTGCAGGTGAAATCTTGAGCCCATTATGCCCATGTTTCCATTAGCTGCGTGCGTGTGTGCGTGTACGATTTTGTTCGCAGCAAATAACTGGTTTCATCAGCTGTGCTTCCGAAAAAAATATTTTTGAGTTTTAAAATGAACTGCAGACCCAGCGGGTGGCTCTGCTCCCCCATGCCCCCCATTACGGGTGCACGATACCTGGTTGGGACAATTGCCTGTGTGGTGTGTGTGCGCGCATGTGTGTTTCTGCATGTGTGCCTGCCAGTCATCACAGTCAATCAACCCATAATGCCTGAGTCTGTCCTGTGACCTTCTGCGAGCAGTGATAGTCTTCCACACTTCACACGATGGCCTTAAAGTACACCTAGCATGGCACAAGCACGGTAGTGACGTCACTACCACTTAGTGGCGAATAGCGGCTGTTGTGCATGTGTTTGTCTTTGTGTGCGCAGGTGTGGGTACATGTGTGTGTTCATTTATGTGAGTGCATATATGTACTTTCCCCAACAGTCTGTTGGCTGCTATAAAAGAAGGAAAGGCTTTAACCTTTCTGGAAATATTACAGGAGGTGTTAAGATGTTCAAACATGAAATGGACACCTAATACAAGGCATCAAATCTGCATTAACCACACATTCTTGTGGTAAAAATACGCAAACAAATATGCTTTGATAATGTATGTTTTGTCCTTGAAACTGAATTTCCTACACCAGCCTCCTTTACGGCTTTGTTTCACCGGTGCTATAGACCAATGAACGGCAAAATGTGAAAAGAGCACAATGACGATGCAAACGCAAAAGCATGAATAGCTCGGGTTAAACAGTTTTATCTTTGGGACCCCTTTTTGAGCGTGTGCATGTGTGCTTGCGCGTGTGTGCTTGCGCGTGTCACGACTGCGCGTGTCACGGGTGGCGAAGTGAGGCTGCGTGTCGTTATGCACAAGGGGTGGCGGCAGGCCGCCCCCCAATGTGGAAGCGATTGAGCGAGTCACCCAGCCATCAGACTCAACCGCACTTAGCCGCGCCAACCTGAACTGCACCACACTGGGCGGATGTGGAGTGCTGGGCAGGCCAAAAGCCCCAATACGCCAAGTGGCCAGTAACAATCTGCACTGTCAAAATTGCAATAGATAAGATTTATGAACATGTTTCTTTAATTGAGCGAGGTTATTAATGTAAGAGCTTGGTGAACAGACTATGACGATGGGAGGAGGGAATTCCCCAGTGCAGCAGTGCGAGGGAAGGAGCAGATAGAGGCGACCTGCGGTGTGATGAGTGTGTGAGTGTGTTGTTGTAGTGTGGTGATATTTGAACATAGTGTGGATGAGATGCCACAGTCTGGTTGACCAGTTCCTCAAAATTGGTGGAGAAATCAACGAGTGAAGTTCACGAGAACAGTAATCATTATGGTAGCAATAGAGGAGCTAGTGTAGGTGGGTGGGTGAATGAGTAGTTGGGTGGGTTGGTGGGTGAGTGAGTGGTTGGGTAGGTGGGTGAGCGAAAACGTGATAACGTTGGTGATGTGTGTGTACAGGCAGGAGAAATTGCTGTCTTTAGCATCGGTGGAGTTGAGCGATCTGCATGGCGACCACGATGCGTCACGTGACACGTCTGGTCCGACTCATCACAGCAAGTAGGAGTGGGGCCTGGCGGCCTGCGCTCGAGCCTGCCTCGCCTAAGTGGCCTCCAGGGGCCATGTGCGGTTTTCCCGGGGTTGCAGAGCGATGGATGTCCACCAAGAAGAGCAAAGGTGGGGGTGATGGTGATGGCATGGAAGGGGGTGGAGAGGGGACGACTTGAGTTTGTGTGATACCATCGTGTGGTTTGTGTGTGCCTCCAGCAAAAAGTTACATCGGGTGGCAGTGGTGGAGTGAGGGGGAGTTGGTGAATGAGCGTGTCAGTGTGTGTGGGTGAGTGGGGAGCGGTAGTGTAGTGGCTCTCATGCGATGCTATGAATCTTGCAACCCGAGTTAGATTTCCGCTCATGGCCAAGACCAATAACGATTATATAAATCGGTCCTGTGCCTCCCCTAGATCGACTCGGCCTCAAATGAGTACCTGGTGCAGTGTGTCAACATTGGCAATGAGACAAAGTTGGCCAGGCGTGGTGCTGGCCACACCACCCCCTCGTGTACCTTTTTCGGCCTTCATAGGCGCTACTTGCTAATCGCACTTGCCCCAACAGTCTGTTCATGCTATATTGAGGATCTTTTGGTGAGTGTGTGGTGAGCGAGTGAATGAGTGAGCGTATGCGTGTTGGTGAATGATTGAGTGAGTGAGCGTGTGTGTGCGCCCCTAGCAAAGGCTAAGTCGGGTGGTGGAGGTGGAGCGGCGAGGGTGAGCGTGCCGCCCGAGCTGGTGGACGACGTGATCAACCTTGAAGGCGTGCGCGGGGAGATGGACGCCGCCCTCGCCTCTCTCCGTGAAGACCTCCTCAAGGGCGTGTCGTTGCGCACCGCCCCAGGTGCCACACTCACCCTCCCACTCGCCTGCTCACTCATAACTAACTCACCCATCCGCCCGCTCAGTCATAACTCACCCAACCATCCTGCGTATCTCCGTGTCTGCTTGATCATGTCTTTGTGTCTGCCTGTCTCCGTGTCTGCCTGTCTCCGTGTCTCCGTGTCTGGCTTTAATTGGGAGGTAAATTAGACGCACATGTGCACAGTGCCCGTGTCTGCGCTGCCCGCGCCGCGCCACTTGGCACGCGTTTGCGTCGTTAATTAATGCTTAATTGCTGCGGTTATGCGGAGGGACATGGCTACGTGCGTATGTGTTTGGACGTGCGAGCGTGTGCGTGTGTCCGCTGTGAGTGTTCGTGTGCCCGCTGTGTCTGTGTGCGTTGTCTGTGTTCACCAACAGCTGACTGTCAAAGGCTATACGGAGAATCTTCGTCTGTGTTGCATGTCGTATTGTACTGTGCGTGTGCTGCGAGCATGGGAGCCTTGCATAGTGTGCTGCGCATGTGTATTGGCGTGTCGCATGCGTGTGCAGCGTGTCTGCCTCGTGCGTGCGTGGCATCACCGCGGCCGCTGTGCTCCCCGTTGGCGCTGCGCTGCCGCTGCACTGCCGCGCGGTGTCTGTTACCTCCCTCTGGCTTTCCTGTCGCGCGCTGAAATCTTAACCTCATTTCCTCACGAGGAAATTCATCACTTCCACACCCCCCCCCACCCCCCCGAGGGTGGAGGTGGTGGTGGTGGCCTCTCTGCCTGGGTGTGCGGTGCGTGCGCACGTGTGTGTGTGTGTGGAATGGTGGCTCAGTGGTTGTCGCACTGCGCTACAAATCCAGTGAGCTGAGTTTGGCGTCGGTGGAGAGCGATGTTGGAACCAGTCCTAGTTTGAAGTCGTTTTTAAATGAGTACCTGGCGCGGTGTGTAAACATTATCATTGGGGAGACAAAGGTGTGGTCCTGGCCACCCAACCCCCTCATAGGTGCACCGTGCTGGCCTTCAGAGGTGCTTGCTAATAAAAGTTACCTCAACATTGTGTGCAGCTACTGCAGGGGATCTTGATATGACCAATTTGTTTTTGTGAGTATGTGTGAGTGTGTGTGAGTATGTGCGACAGTGCAGCGGTTAATGCGCTGTGCTACGAATCCGACGACCCAGGTTCGGTTCCCGCTCACGGTCAACACCAGTGACGATAATTTGAACCGGTCCTGGGCCTCCCCTAGGTCGACTCAGCCTCAAATTAGTAGGTGCAGTGTGTAAACATTGTCACTCGGTAGACAAAGGCGGTCGGGCATGGTGCTTGCCACCCACCCCCTCGTGCTGTCGGCCTTCATCGGTGCTCACTAACAGCACTTGCCTCAAAAGTCTACTCAAGGCTATATGGGGGAATTTTGTCTTTGCGATTTTGTGTGAGTGTGTTTAAGCATGTAAGTGTGTGTGAGTGAGCGTGCGTGCGTGTGTGTGTGAGTGTACGTGCGTGCGTGTGAGTGTTTGCTTGCGTGTGTGTGTGAGTGTGCCGAATCAAGGGCGGTAATCACAGCCCGGCACGCGAACGGATCGCTACACAGCCGCCCGGCGCTCTCACTCCTCATCCTCCTCCTCCTCGCATGCAGCGCGTTCCCCCTCATCACTCCACTTTATAGAAACCAAAAGTCCCCGCCCCCCTTGTGTGACACGGTAATTGTAGTGGAGGCCGTCGCTTTGTCTCCACAGCTCGGTTTTGCCGTCTGAGCCCAAGGCATTTCCACCGACTCAAGCTTCGAACGATCCTCTCTCCCTCCCTCTCTCCCGCGCTGACCCTTCCACCTCCCGCTCGCGTACGCAAGCTCGCGCCCGGACGAGCGTGCGTACGCTTGCTTTCGCTGGTGGGAGCATGCGTACCTGCTCGCGTACACGATGATTATCAGAATTAATAATTTTTACTTTTGATATTGGCGCCATCATCGTTCTTGTAGCGCCAAGCTCTCATCGCGACTGAAGGCGCTGCCGTGTTCCAGACACAGCCACAATCGATTCGCAGCAGGGGCCGGTGGTGTTGGCATGCGAGATCCCGGTTGGGTTGTGTGTACACATGGGGATGGCGTGCGCACACGAGGTGCAATCGTCAGTGCCCAGGCCACCACCGCTGAGGCCTCGGTTCGAATCCGGGTTTCAGCTGCCAGTTTGTTGATGCAATTGATGCATACTCTCACAGAGACCCATAGACTTGCACAGTGATCCGTATATTTACATAGGGGTCTGCAGAATCACAGAGAGACCCAGAGACTCACACCAACTGAGTCATGATTAAACTGGGTAGTAAAGTACAGTTGCGAGTTGATGGTCTCAGCCCGGTCGCCAATGATTGCACAAAAAAACCCATCATGTGAAATTTGTTTGCCTTAAATTGGCTGAATTCCATCTTTTATTGTTTACATACCAGGTTGAGTGCCATTGCTGTCATTGGCAGGGCAGGAGAGAATTGTTGCCCTGTACTTAGAGGTTTCTCTGTGACATCCACATTAGCAGGCCGTTCCTTAACACAGGGCGGTTGCACTGCTCGGCATGCGATGCGAATGTGAGCAAAGCTCACGGTAGTCGTGCCCCGTATCACCTGATGCTCACCTGCGGTGGCGTGGTTTGTGTACAAAAATAGTACAGCCACAACTCAGCACAGTCCCCACCCAGCAAGGTCCCCACCTAGCAGGGTCCCCACACAGCAGGGTCCCCACCCAGCAGAGTCCCCACCCACTAAGGTCCCCACCCAGCAGGGTCCCCACCCAGCAGAGTCCCCACCCAGCAAGGTCCCCACCTAGCAGGGTTCCCACACAGCAGGGTCGCCATCCCAGCACAGGCTGAAATGGGGGTATGGGTGGGGGATATGGGGGGGGGGATATGGGGGTGGGGGTGGGCGGCAGTGTCTGGCCGCTGCTGCGGCCGCGGCGTTGACGCGGAGCACCTGGGCTGGTGTGGAGTGCAGCGTTTATTTGTGTGAGCGGCCCCGGGGGCTCGTGGTGAGTGGTGGTGGTGGTGAGGGGTGATGGTATGTGTGTGGTGAGCAATGGCACACGGTAGTGAGTGAGGGTGATGGGTGATGGTGTGAGATGGGAGATGGTGTATGATGATGTGTGTTTGGGTGATGGTGAGCGATGATGGTGGTGATGATATGTGAGTGATAGTTAGGACTTAATTGCAGCTGGGTCTGTCTGGGCCAGTGACCCAGATAATAGTTCTGCATCCAGCACACCACATCCACTATATCTCCCCTCGCTATAACCGTGACTACTACTAGTCACGTGCCATCCACTCCAGTCTACCAGCCACCCTGAAAATATTCAGTGCGAAACTAAGCTCTGCGTGAGTGGTGAGAGATCGTGAGTGATCCTGTGTCCTCACCAGGCGCGCTGGACCACGTTGCCGTGGTGACCACAGAGGGCAGAGTTCCGCTCAAGCAAATCGGTCATGTGACTGTGCGCTCACCCAGCCTGCTCGTGGTCAACATGGCTGCCTGTCCACAGGTGTGTACATGAAGTGTATGTACTCGTGGGGTGTGCGTGTACTCGGGTGTGCGTGTACTCGGGGTGCGTTTGTGTGTGTGTTTACATGTGCATAACTGTGATGTTTACATATGTGGTGTGTACATGGGGAGTGTAATTGTATACATGTGGCGTTTGTTTTTGCCAATGGTGTGTGACAGGGTTAGTGGGGTGTGTGATCTGACCCTGTGTGTGGTGTGTGTACCTGGGAGGTGTGCAGCTTGGGAGGTGTTTACACGTGTGTTGCATTCACTTGTGTGGTGTGTAAATGTGTGTGTGTATAAATTGGATGTGTACTTGGGGTGTGCGCATGGGATGTGTACACTTGCATCATCATCACTCACGGTCTGTGTGAGTGAGGCATCGTCACTCACTGCCACGTGCCAGTCCTGTATAAAGTCCCCATTGCTGCGACGTGGGCTGCGGGGGGGGGGGGCTGTGTCTAGACACGGTGAGCAGGTATCCCCTTGGGGAGGGGGCACTCTCCGTGAACCCCTTCCTCACCCCCTCTCTGCCCCACCCCCACCACGCTTCCGCACTCTTGAGATGCCCGGTAATTTTCTACCAATTTGTGTGCTGTAACGCAGCGTGCGTGCGTGTGTGGTGCGTGTGTGTGCTCACGTGTGTGCTCGCGCGTGTGTGTGCAAGTGTGTGTGCGTGCATGTGTATTTTTCAGTGTGATTGTGTGTTCCCACGTTTAAGTGCGCGTATGCACGTGCATGTGCGTATACATGCATAGCAGTGAGTGGTGGCGCAGTGCTTAGCGCACTGCGCTTCAACCCGGCGACCCGAGTTTGATTCCCGCTCACGACCAACATCACTGACAAATATCTCAACCGGTTATGGGCCTCCCCTAGGTCGACTCAGCCTCCAATGAGCACATGGTGCGATGTGTAAACATAATCACTGGAGAGACGAATGCGGCCAGGTGTGGTGCTGGCCACATCAACACCTCGTGCACCGTGCCGGCCTTAATAGATGCTGTTCGCTCACAGCACTTGCCTCAAGAGTCTTCGTGCACGGCTTGAAGAAGTTTTAGTGAAACGGTGTCGAGCGTCGGTGTTGACTTCCGTCGTGAGACGTCTCGAGCCACCATCTGTGGGGCACAGCAGGAGCCTTATTGGTCAGCGTTTGATGAATACACAGGTCACGTACAAGTATTGTCTGTGTGAACGTGACAGTCGTGTCAGGTGGTGGAGGATTCATGGTAGTAATTGTCACATAAAACTACGATCCCAGGACCGAATCCAAACACAAATATGGATTGTAAACGGGTGATCTTTGTCTTTGTGTGTGAGCGCGTTCATGTTTGTGCGCGAGTACACGTATTCGAGTGTGTGTCCTTGTGTGTGTTATGAGTAATCATGCGAATGTGCGTGCGTGTCTAGTGAGCGCACAAGTGTGCGCGTGTGTTTGTGTTGTGAGTAATGGTGTAAGTGTGCGAGCGGGTGTGTAAGCGTGCGAGCGGGTGTGTATTTGTGTTGGGGCTGTGTATGCGTGTCGCGTGACTGTGCTCGCGCGTGTTTGTTGGAGTTAGCCTTGGAGTCGTGGGGGCCGTGTGCCGATGATGGATGTAGTGGCTGGTGGGTGGCGGGCCGGGGGGGCGGGCAGTGGGAGTCAGTGACTCCCAAAGCAATTTAGGGGAGTCATGGGTTAAGGGGAGCAAGGGGATGAATGGAGAGGTACCCAACCTTGTGAGTGAAAGCCAGAGCAGTGTTGTGATCGCACTTTGATCTTCACCCAACTGAGGATCCTGTGCTGCCCCTGTGCTGTTGCCCGTGTGTTGCTGCCCCGATGTTGCAGGCAACGGAAGCCGCTGTGCAGGCGATTCGCACAAGTGGCATGAACCTTAACCCGGAAGTGGATGGAGACATTATCCGTGTGCCAGTGCCCAAGTGAGTGTCCATGCTGGGATGGGTTGAATGAGTGAGTGAATGGGTGGTTGAGTGAGTTAAGGGGTGAGTGTCTGTGTTTTGGGGGGTGAGCGTGTGTTGGGGGGTGTGTGTTTTAGGGGTAAGTGAGTGTGTGTTAGGCTGTTGGTGTGTTGGACTGAGTGTGTGAGTATGCAAAGTGGTTAGTGCACTCCGCTATGAACTTGGCTAGTCTGATTCACGCTCGCGGCCAACATTGGTGGACAATATCTGAACTGGTCCTTGGCTTTCATCTTAAATAAGTATCTGGTGCGGTGTTTAAACTTCAGCATTGGGGAGACAGGTGGCTGGGGGTGGTGCTGACCAGCCACCCCCTCATGTGCCTTGCCAGCCTTTAAAAGTTGCTCGGTAATGGCATTTGCCCCAACAGCCTGTTAGAGGCTGTACAGGGGGTGTGAATGCATCAGGGCTATTCTGTGTCCGTGGCGATCGTGTGGAGCAAGTGCACGAGCGGTGCTCCCCGGTAACCTGCGGCCTCCTGTGCCTCCCAGGGTGACGCGCGAGCATCGTGAGAACCTGGGGCGTGTGGCCAAGCAGCTGGGCACGCGCTGCAAGGATGCACTGCGGTCCGTGCGGAACGCGGCGGTGACTCGCGCGCGTCGATCACGTGATTCTGTCTCCGACGACGTCATCCGGCTCGTCGAGAAGCAGGTGGGGTCGGTGGGGCCGGTGGGGCCGGTGGGGCTGGTGGGGCTGGTGGGCTCTAGGGAGTTTCATGCAGTGGATTTTAGGATGTTTGGGGGAACATTTAAAATGATTGCATTGTGTTGTAGTTTCACACGTCTTCGTGCCAACACAAGTGATGTCACCTGTGACGCCACTTTTAGCGGAAAAAGTGCGGATGTGACACCACGTGAGTGACGTCACTTCCGGTACATCTTATTTTTGGCTCAACCCAGACAAATGTCTTTTCGGATCGTCTGCAATTTCCTGTCTAGATCTTGAATTTCCGAAATTTCATATTTTTCATTATCTAAAAATCGGGCCTAGATAGGAAATTTCGTACTCTCCGTGTGCCCCTAGTTCCATCTCTCCCAATGTGCCAACATCTCCCCATGCATCCCCAATGTACCACCCGTGGCCCTACACATGCCCTCCCATGCCTCTGTTCCCCGCGCGTCCCTTTGCGCCCCCTCCGACCCCCTTCGTCCCCCCGTACCCCCTCATGCCTCCAGCCCCAGCGTGCGTGTGAAACAGTTCTCCCTCTCCGGGTCTGTAAACCATCTGCCTTGGCTGCCCCCCCCGCCCGCCCCCACCCCCGTGCCACGGAGCGACGGCCGCTCTGCCCGTAATTGTAAACCCGAGGAAGGAAATGTTTAAGTTTGAAAAACAATAGCGGCGTTTTGGGCCTCTCGGGCGAGCGAGTGAGCGGGGGTGTGAGAGGGAACGGGGGGCGGGGCGCCCTGTTTGGGTTTTGAACGCACGCACATGCTGCCCCCGCCTCGCACGGACCCCGGGCCTCGTGCCGTGGGCAGCGCCGGGGAAAGGGCAGAGGCAGTGGAAGGGGCAGTGGGTGGAGAAGGGGACAATGGCATCGATTGGCTCGCTGCAGGTGTGGCCCAACATGGGTAAGTGCCTTGGTTCAGCGACATCATCGTTGTCATCACCATCACGACTAGCATCATAATCACCATTATTGTCATCACCAAAAAGGCAAAGGTCCCCTGTATAGCCGACACAGGTTGTTCGGGCAAGTGCTGTTTGTGAGCCCCTATGAAGGCTGGCACGACTTATAGTAGGTGGCCAGAACCATACCCAGCCGCCTTTGTCTCCCAAGTGGCAATGTTTAAACATTGCATCAAGTACTCCTTTGAGACTGAATCGACCTTGTGGAGGCCCAGGACTGGTTCAAATAACCGTCCCTATTATTGGCCGTAAGCGGGATTCAAACTCAGGTTGTTAGGTTCATAGCACAGTGCGCTAACCACTGGACCACCACTCATCACCATTATCACTAGCATTGTCCTCAACCTCAACATCGCTACCATCTTCACTACCACCATCATCGCCACCACCTTCACTGTCATAACCACCATCATTGTCTTCGCTGTCATTATCACAATTGTCACATTGGGTTTGTGGATTTTATGGCATCCAGCCCTAGCCCTAACCTCATGCCCCATTTGATCCCCACCACCCCCAGATTCAGCAGATGGCGGACGAGACGAGCGACGAGGTGGATCGGCTTATCGTCGCAAAAACCAAGGAGTTGCTGGGCTGAGCCACGTGGGGAGGGGCCCCTCATGCCTACTACGGAGTGGAACGGGGGAGGGCAGGGGCCCTCCAGCCTGAATCTACATGGCAAGACCTCTTACGTCGGGGCCCCCTATAGCCTGGGCTCCCATGGCAGGGCCAGGGACCCCACAAACTAATTTTTCCTATGGACTTGCTCCAGGTGTGCCCCCCACTGCCCGTGTGCCAAGATTGTATTTGCCAGGACTCTACTAGTGTGTGTGCGTGTGTATGAGTGTGTGCACGTGTGCGTGCGTGTGTGTCTGCCCCCTGGGCCGTGTAACCGGAGTGCCGTGTGTGGTGACGGCTCGGAACGGAATCTTGCCGTCACCGCGCGTGGCGCTCGGCACGTGCCATGCGGAGACGGAGCCGTGTTTGGATTAATCAGGGCGGAATGCGGTGCGGGGAGACGTTCGCTCACCTGGTGAGCGCATGAGCCCCGTGCCTCCACATGGGGCCGTGGCTCCACCATACTCACCCTGCGCATGTGTGAGGAGCGGCGGTGCAGCGTCTAGCGCACCACGCTACGAATTCAGCGATTTGTATTTGATCGCTGCGCATGGCCAACGTCAGTGGTGGATATCTGAACCGGGCCTCTCCTAAGTAGACTTAAATGAGTATCCAGTGCAGGGCATAGACATCAGCACTGAGGAAATAAATGCGGCCAGGGGTGGTGTTGATCATACCACCCCCTCGTGCGCCGTGCCAGTCTTCATAGGTCCTTGTTAATAGCACTTGCCCTAAACAGTATGGTCGGGCTATAGGGGAGATCTTTGCAATTGTATAGTTGTGGGTGTATGCCCACACTGTGTACACGTCTAGCACAAACACATACACACGTGTACACCACACAATGCAGGAGGGAGCTCGTGTGTGTGTATGAGTGTGTGCGTGCGTGCTCAGCGTGGAGGTCCCGGAGTGGGCACCATTTCTATTTTTACTCGGATTTCCCGTATCCCCCCCCAGCCTTGACGTGACGTCACCCAAGGTTAATTAGCGGCGCTAATTGCTCTAAATGTGGACTCGAGATATAAATACCGCGAGCATGTGAACCCTGCGTCCGGCTCAATGTGTCATGTGGGTTGATTCAGATGTGTTCACCTGGTGTGTGTGGGCCACTTGGACTGGTTCAGGTGTGTTCACCTGGTGTGTGTGTGGGTCACGTGGACTGATTCAGGGGTGTTCACCTGGTGTGTGTGTGTGGGTCACGTGGGCTGGGTCAGCTGGAGCCACTCGGCTCTACGTGGAGCGAGACGCAGCTCCCCGCGCCGCGTCTCTCACAATAAACGCGCGGCGAGCGGAGCCGCGATCTCGCTCCCCGCTGCGCTTATTGCTACAGCGCAGCGACGCGTGGCGGCGGGGGAGGGGGTCCAGGGGGCGGGGGAGCGGGTGCCCCCTCCTCCCCCCTCGTCCCACCCGGGCTGAGTGGAGTCAGAGCGCCAGAGACCCCTATCCTGTCCCCGCCCTCGCCGAGATGCCGGTTCGAATCTCCACTGTGGAGGCCGAGGGTCCTGTGATGGGTCTGTGGGTGGTGAGGGTTTCTGAGTGGTCACGCGCTTGAGATTGACGTGTTGACGGTGACATAACATTAAATATGACGAATTGTGAGGTGTAGTGAGAGTGTCTGGGTGGTGAGGGACTCTTGGTGATGAGTGCTGAGTTGTGAGGGTGGCATGAGGAGGTGAGGGTTCCAGGTGGGGGGGAGAGTTATCGGTGGTGAGGTCCCATGTAGTGAGGGTTCTTGGTGCTGAGGGTGAGAATTTCCATGGACCCCACAGCTGCGCTAGGTGAACCGGCGCACACGCGGTTGTGATTAAACACGGGGCTCAGTTAATGAGGCTCCAGGTGAGGGTGGAGGGGGGCGGGCTCACCTGTCAATCAGCGCCGGGGGCAACGCGAGACACTGAGATAATTTAACTGCAGAACATGCGGCAATACCTCACTAACACGCCGCCATAGTAATACACACTTAACACCATAGCAACACTTACACATCCGCGAACAGCAATACAACACTAAAATACGCAACACTCCGCGTTAACACACACTACCATACAGCACGCGTGCGCACACCACTACAAGCAACGACACGAACACATCGGCAACACCAACCACATGAACACCACACTAGGGAGAGTGACGCCCTGGGCCTGCGAGAGTGAAACTCTCGGGCTGGGAGAGGGAGCGCAACTTTCCGATCTCACGAAGTGGAGCGTGGCCGTTGCCATGGCGACTGGCTGTGATTGACAGCTACGATGGCGACCCGAGTTAATTGAGCTCTGATTGGAGCTGAACCCAGCACGGGGCGAAGATGCGAGAAGCAGCACGTGGCTTGCACCATCACATCGTCACACCATCAACACCATCACAACCATCACATCGTCACACCATCAACACCATCACTCGCGCCTGAGGCCGTGAGATGGTGGGGCGTATCACGTGACTCGCTCCGCTAATTAAGGAGTCGCGCAGCTGCAGTCATTAACCCCCCCACCCCGCGCCCCCCACTCCCCTGGCGCGTGACCCCATGACTCCGAGCCCCGAGTTTGTTTAACTTCGCGCCTCACCTGGGAGTGGGAGTTTTAGCTTGTGCCGGTGTGCGTGTGTGTCGGTGTGGAGGGAGCGGTAGTGTAGCGGTTAGCGCGATGCACCACGAACCGAGTTCCATTCACGGTCAACACCACAGACGATTATTTGAACCTCTTCCTTGGACTCTTCTAGGTCGACTCCGCCTCAAATGAGTACCTGATGCGGTGCGTGTAAACCTCGCTACATGGTAGACAAAGGTGGCCGAGCGTGGTGCTGTCCACCCATCCCCTTGTGTGCCGTACCGGCCTTCATAGGCGCTCGCTAACGGCACTTGCCCCAAACGTCTGTTAAGGCTACACGGGCGACCTTTGTCACTGGCGCTGTTTTGTGCCGTCTCGTCAGCCACACAAAGCCGAGAAAGTGATCGGCCTCTGATCTCTGAGCTTAGGGCTTGTGGGGGGCGATGGGAGGTCATAGAGGGGCTGACAGCCCGGGGTGAGAAAGCATACAATTTGCAAACACACAAAGGCGAATAACCCCCGTATAGCTTGAAGCAGACTATTGAGGAAGTGCTGTTAGCGAGCACCTATGAAGGCCGGCACGGAACACGATGCGAAAGCCAACACCACACCCGACAGCCTTTGTCTCTCCAGTTCCGATGTTTACACACCGCACCATGTACTCATGTAAGGTCTGAGTCCGCATAGGGGAGCCCTAGGACCGGTTAAAATATTTACAGCTATTATTGGTCGTTAGCGTGTATTGAACTCGGGTCGTCGAGTTCGGAGCGCAGCGCGCCCGCTACCCACTGCGCCACCGCCTCTCCATCCTCGGCTTGCTGCGGTTGGTACCGTGGCCCCATAGTGCCCCCTGCCGAGTCTCAGCTTCAGTCGCCACGGCGGTCCCACGCCGATTACCTCCTATAATCACCTAGAAATGTCTGTCCGTCCCGCGCATGACGTCACTCAACGCGAGGCCCACCCCCACACGTGACGTCACTCCACATAGTTCATAGTTCATTTATTTGGTATAGCCCTGTGAGCCATTCGGCTCTTGAATCGGGTGCAACCGCAACAAACAAAAAACATGAACAAGAAAACATCTTAAAGTGATTTTGTGACTGTGCAAACAGAAAATACAGGAAAAAAATATCAAAATATTCCTGAAATAGCACCGTACACCAACGCTGTGTGCAAAAATCCCAGTGGCATGGGAGTCAAATAACAACAACAACCACAAGACAACTAAGATTAAGGCCATCAGTCTAACTCCGTACTACAATAAACAAAAACATGGCCAAAACAAAAAAAACTTTTCGAAATCACCAAAATAAAAGCCATAAATCCAATGTAACAGTAATCATAGGGACTGTGACCGAATTTTTTACAATAAACTACATAAATAAATTATAACACCAAAATCTAGAGCGATATTTTAGGCCACTGAATAGCAGTGGCAGCTAGGGTTGTACAACTCCTCTAGAGCAGTTTTGAGTGAAGATCTCATAGTGATTCAAGTTGCAATTTATTGGCAATAGCATTCCAGACCCTGGGGGCATCAATAGCAAAGGCCCTTCCTCCAGTTTTTGTACGGCAATAGGGAATGTGAAGCTGGTAAATGAGCGAAGACCTGAGGTCAAATTTGTTCTTTGGAACAGAGAGGAGATCCAGTAGGTAGTCTGCGGAATTTTTTAAAAGTACATCGTGGATAAATAAGATCTGGTGCACAAGCCGTCGAACATTAAGAGATGTTAAGTTTGACCCAATGTAGAGATCACATTGGTGAGTCCTATATGGGCAGTTCAATGCAAATCTTAAGGCCGAGTGATAGATGGAATCAAGCTTCTTCAGTACAGCACTTGGGGCTGATTTATACACGATGTCACAGTAGTCAAGTAGAGGCAGTATGGTAGCTTTTATCAATTCCAAACGGAACATTGGGGGGAAGCAGTGCTTGTGTCGATACAGAAAACCAATTTTTATTTTTGTCTTTTTACCAATATAATCAATGTGATCTTTAAAACTAAGTTTTGAATCCAGGATGACCCCAAGATACTTATAGATCTTGACTTGCTCTATTTGATAATTATTCAAGGAATGTAATTGGGGAAAAATAACTTCCTGCTTTAGTCCCGGAGAGAAGCATAGCACCTTGGTTTTGGAGGTATTCAGGACTAGTTTAAGAGAAACTAGCTGATGTTGTAGTTTGTTGAAATCACCCTGGAGCTTAGCAATCACGTCATCCGGAGAGCGGCCAGCAGTAATCAGTATAGTGTCATCTGCAAAAAGATTTACCCTGGAATGATCCAGTTCAGTGCCCAAGTCATTGACATAAAGAGAGAACAAGAGGGGGCCGAGGATGGAACCCTGTGGAACCCCTTTTGTTATCTTAACACTGTTTGACCTCCAACCATCTGTGAATACAGTTTGGGTGCGAGAAAAGAGGTAATTTTTTAACCATTGTACTGTGTTCTCGGAAAAACCGAGGCAACTTAGTTTACTAAGCAGGGTGTTGTGGTCAACTGTATCAAACGCTTTGGACAGGTCAAGAAAAAAACAGGCACAGTACTGCTTATTATCAAGGCTATTGTAAATTTGATTCAAAGAGTCTAATGCAGCAGATGTGGTGCTGTATTTTTTCCGGAACCCAGATTGTTTTAGATGTAGTAGATTGTTGGTGGACAGAAAACTGCTAATTTGGTAGTTCAATAATTTTTCACAAATTTTCATCAATGGGGACAAAATTGAGATAGGTCGGTAGTTATTGGGATCATCTTTAGGGCCCCCTTTGTGAAGTGGACGGACATAGGAATGTTTCCATTCTAGAGGAACTGATGCTTCTTTGATGGACCGGTTGAAAATTTGGGCTATAGGTTTGTATATTAGGTGACCAACAGTTAGTAGAGCAAAGACGGGAAAACTCTCTGCTCCGGTAGAGGAGGACCCTTTGAGGTAGGACAGTTGTTTCAGAACATTACTTTCGTGGATTTGGTTGGAAACTAAATTCGTTTAATGTTTGGACAGGGGTGTAGGAATTTGCAGGAGCAGGGGTGACTCCCAATACATTATCAAAAAGATTACCAGCTTCAGAAAAATGAAGGTTAAAATTGTCAACTATTTTTTTGGGATCTGAAAAATATTCCCCATTTCGGTGAAGCTCAACGGGCAGTTTTTCTGTTTTGGATGCCTTTTCAATAGATTTGATTGTTTTCCAAAAAATCCTGGCATTTCCATGTGATTCCAGGAGAGTGGAGGAAAAATAGGCATTTTTTGCATGCCGTATTTTTTTAACGCATCTATTCCTTAAAATCCTGTATTCTAGCCAGTCATTTACCAAATAACTTTTCTGAGCACATGCCCAAGCCTTGTCCCTAGTTTTCATGAGCTTTGTAATCAAAGGATCATACCATGGTGGGCGGTTGCCTTTAGTTTTAAATCTAACCAATGGAGCATGTTTGTCAAGAATTTGGAGAAACGTGTACCTGAAAGTCTCCCAAGCCGTAGTCAGGTTGGGGATATCACAGACCTTATCAATATCCGAGTGAAGCACATCATTTGTAAATGCCTGAGTGCTGAAGTGCCTCAAAGAGTGCTTCTCAACAATTTTAGGGGGGGCTTTGGGTCTGGCTGATGATCTCACACCAAAAATGAAGGAGTGATCACTAAGGTTATTACCCAGAACACCAGTCAGTGCGAAATTGTGAGGGGCATTTGTCAATAGGACGTCAAGCAGAGTTGACTGTCCTGGATTTTTTAGGTTGGGTCTTGTGGGGACATTTATTAATTGAAACAAGTTAAATTCATCTGGAAAATTTGTGGCCACGGCCGGCGGGTTTAGCCAATTCCAATTTAGATCACCCACTAAAATTATTTCACCTTTACATGAGGCCCATCCCCGCACATTAATATTCACGAGTGGGTGGATTTCTACACTAACGCAGAGGAAGGGCGAGCTGAATTAAATAATTTATTACGCAAAGTCGCTTCAAATATGACGTTTCTTTACAGAAAGTGACGGTAAAAAATTAATCGAAGCAGCAAAAGTGCTACATCCCGTCATGACGTCACTGCAAAAGAGGC